CTTTTCCTTTTAAATTTGCCTCTGAAAGCTTCAAATCTATTCACAAACAATTCAATATATTCAATACTAATCATAGGAATTAATTCCATATGAATTTACAAATTTTTCGGATAAAAATCCGAAATTCATTAAAATATTTGGCGGTGGGACCCACATCTCAAATTTCGGAAAAACTCGCGAAATCCGAACACCCGTTCCGATACAAGTTCAACCATATCAAATTTGTCTAATTCCGATATCAAATGGACCTTCAAATCTTAATTTTTTATTTTTTGGAAAGTTTTACAAAAATTCCAATTTCTTCCATCTAAATCCGAAATAAATGATGAATATAGATATGGATTTGTGAAATTCAATCACTATATGATAAAGAACACTTACCCAGTCCGAAATCGTGAAAAACTCCTTTGAAATCGCCCATAAGCCGAGTTATAATTGAGGGTTTGTGAAAAATGAGAAAAATCCCGTTTTTGGTTCTGTTTTAAGTCACAGGGGTCAGGCCTTCTTGCGTTCGCGAAGGGCCTATCGCGTTCGTGATGAGTAGCAGCCCGTGGCTTTCGCGTTCGCGAGTCCATTCCCCCCCCTCCCCCGGCCTTCGCGTTCGCGAGGCATAGCTCGCGTTCGCGGTGAAGGAATGATCGACCCTCCCCCAGGTGTGCCTAACACTACACGTTCGCGAGGAGATGGTCGCGTTCGTGAAGGGTAATTCCCCCATTGCTTCGCGTTCGCGACCAAGCCTTCACGTTCGCGAAGAAGAAAGATCCAGCTGCCCAGTTTACTCTTCGCGTTCGCGAGAGTACCTTCGCGAACGCGAAGAAGAACATGCGAGAACACCTGCTGCAGCAAAATACCAGATTTTCAAAGTCCAAAACATCTCGTAGCCTATCCGAAACTCACCCGAGCCCTCGGGGCTCCAAACCAAATATGCACATAAGTTCTAAAACATCATACGAACTTGCTCGCGCGATCGAATAGCCAAAATAACACCTAGAACTACGAATCGGACACCAAATCAAAGGAAGTTTTAAAGAAAACTTTAAAACTTATATTTTTACAACCGGACGTCCGAATCACATCAAATCAACTCCGATTCTCGCCAAATTTGACAGACAAGTCATAAATATTATAGTGGATCTATACCGGGATCCGGAACCAAAATACGAACCCGAGGTCAATAAATCCAACATCAGTAATTTCTTAGAAATCATTAAGCTTTCAAGCTTTTAAATTTTCATCAAAATTCCATAACTCGGGCTAGGGACCTCGGAATTCGATTCCGGGCATACGTCCAAGTCCCAAATCACGATACGGACCTACCGAAATATTTAAAACACTGATCCAGGTCCCCTTTCTCAAAACGTTGACCAAAGTCAACTTAGTTTAGTTTTAAAGCTCTATTTCCCATTTTAATCCATTTTTTACATAAAAACTTTCCGGAAAAATATACAGACTGCGTACGCAAGTCGAGGAATGATAAATAGTGCTTTTCGAGGTCTTAGAATACAAAATTACTTATTAAATTTAAAGATAATATTTTAGGTCATCACATTCTCCACCTCTAAAATAAATGTTCGTCCTCGAACGGAGTTAGAAAAAAGTGCCTGAGCTGGAGAAAAGGTGTGGATATTTACTCCGCATGTCCGATTCGGACTCCCAGGTAGATGCCTCTACCGACTGACCTCTCCATTGCACCCGAACTAAAGGATAACTCTTAGACCTCAACTGTCGGACCTGCCAGGCTAGAATAGCCACCGGCTCCTCTTCGTAAGTCAAATCTTTGTCCATTTGGACTGGGCAGAAATCTAACACATGGGACGGATCACCATGATATTTTCGAAGCATAGACACATGGAACACCGGATGAACCGCTGATAAACTAGGTGGTAAT